AAACACATGCATTGCTCTGCCAGAGACACCTGGTTTGATGTCTCCAGTGTTCCCTTGTGGAACTTCCATTAGCATTATGTTTGTCAAAAAATACTTTTGGCAAACACAGCCTGACAGCGTCAGCATCTGGTCAAGCCAACTTTGAACACAACTGTTACACGTACATGAGAAACCTGCATGCAGCAGCAGGAAGCCTTTGGGTCTGCCCAGTCTAGACAGTGTCAGAGCTTCCCGAGCTATTATTTTGTGATCAGCTCCTCTAAGTCTCACCTGATTACTCAAGATGTTCAAGAATTACCTATATATGGATATGCGAGTACACACACAGCATGTACCATAATCTAGGCATTTTATTAACAGCATAACTACAACTTTCAGAGATTTTTCTAGGACAAGATAAACACAAACAAGTTGTGCTTTTTCTTCATGTCTATGTTGTAGAAGTACAGAACATCAAACAGCACACACGACAACTCTTAAAGTGATTTATAAACTTCCAGCTTGAAATTGTTCATATAATCATTGCTACTCTGTCGAGGGCACCAGCAAATTCTCCCCAACTTTATTCTGGATAGTGCACATCTGCCAAATGGTTATTGCTCAGAAAGTATTTTCCATGTGAAACATTTATTTTGTAGCACAGTGAGGATGTACGTAATTCACCAGAGAATTGTAGTACTGCACTGTATCTCGCTGAATCAACTTTAATGAGTGATTTCAAACAAAAAAACAGACGTATTCTTCAGCTCCCAGATTTCCTATTCCAGATATAAAGCCCTAAAAATACTACTGCTTCACTGTAAAAAGCCTTGGAAGTAACCTTATCAAGCCTAATATATGACAAGATGACAATACTGCCATTATCAAGATTTTTTTATGTATAAGATGTGTTTATGAATGCATATAGACACACGTAAATCACATATACAGGTACCAGTCTCCTCATGTAAGGGAGGAGGGTACTAAAACTGGGGATTGCAAGACGAATAAGACAAGGTACAGTTCTTTGTAAAAAAATGGACAAAAATAACAGGGACATAACCTCAAGCACTGAAGCCTAATGAGAAGTATGAGCAGGACATTCTCCCCCAGCAGTATTGTTACATCTGTCTCAGATTCACACTGTGAAAAAGGACTTGACCTCCACAATTTTACCCTAAGTCCCAGACCTTTCCCTTTCTTCCAGACCTTTCATCCAGGCCTTAGATCTGGTGACATGTCAGGGAAAGGCCAGGTAAAGAGGCAAAGGCAGGCATTTTCTTCTTACCAAACTAGCGGAAAAAAACCATGTCATGTCATGCAGCCTCCGCTTTGTGGACAAATTCATTTAAAGGTGAGAGATGAGAACTGCCTCTGCCAATACGTCTCCACATCAGCTGTGCAGAGCAGGCTATCCAGCTGCAGAAGCAGGTCCTGGGGCGCATACTGAAAAACAGGGGGTTTAAACAGGTAGCCTTACCCCTGTTGCCCTGGGGGCCAAGAGCTTGATTCCTCTAATAAGGAGGAGATACTTCCTCCTAAGGAAACTCTGTAATGCCACCATAATAATTTTCTTTCTCCTAATCTGCTTTCACAGGTCCAGTTGTGGCCAGCCATGAACAGGTGCTATTCTAATCCCTTGGCTATTTGTGCTGCATATTCTGTTCCAGTTTAGGAAGCCTCCTCTTGTGTGTTGTGGTTGTGTGCATAGCTGCTGATCACTCATACACTCTTCTTCCATGGACCTACCGCCACAACACCCCACCCCTTTGCCCTGACATTGTGCAGGATACACTGGTGAACAACAGAGCAATCTCTTGCTGTTCTGTACAGCCACTGTATTAAGTGCACACTCATTGCCCTGCTGCTTGTGTGGTGTGCTGTGGATGCAAATGCATCCCGTCACTGCTGGGTTTTATAATGGTCCTGTTCCTGCACTTGAATGCAGAAGACAGGAGAGATGTGTAGTCACTCCGAAATGCATGCAGCTGTGGTGTCACCTGGACGGCACAACGTGACTGTGGCTCTCTGGATAGCAATCCTGCTTCCTTTTTCTTTGGGAACGATAACCCGCTCTAGTTCTTTCTCTACTGATAGAGTCTAATTTTTACACTCAGCTGCCATTAATGCACAGGCCATTAATGCGCTGTGTATACAGAGCTGACATTTGTCCCCCCCACTTAGCCAGGCATCTGGCAGCTCAGTGGCTTCTGACCTCTCCTTCGTTCTGGACCAGGCAGCACAGGCAGGTTTCATTGCACTCCCCGGTGCCCCCATGCTGCCACACAGATGGACCTTCCAGACCCTGACGTGGGTACCTCACTCCTGCCTCGGCTCCAGACACTTTCTTCAGACAGTATATGCAAAAGAATCAACAGCTAATTTCAAGAAAGGAGGAAGGGAAGGGAGTAATTACTATGAAAACAATTTTGTGCTTGCAGGGAAAATACTTTGGATATAAGAACTTCAAAGTAGGACAAGAGTGATAAGAAACAGATCTCAAACAGAGACTAATTTCCTGTTTTCGGTTCAAAACAGTCCTATGTCACAAGCAGTGCAGCACATCTACCCTAGCATGGCCAGAGAGGTTTTATCCTAAACGCTTACCCATTGCTATAAGCAGAATATGAAGAAATAACAACAAACAAAATATTTTCTCTGTGAAAGATTTTAAGACCTGCTGTCTTTCCACTGTTCTGGTAGCCAAATTGCAAGTATAAATACCCACAATCTACTACCATGATTACTGAATCTTCTTTCCCTTTGGCTCCCCACTGCCATTTAATCTACAAAGCAGATATTGAAACTGTTCTCCTTGGCTATAAACCTGACCTTGTTGACCCTCTTCATTACATGTAGCTCAAGGCTGGTGTTCTGACCTCCCAGCCAAGCACAAGCCAGCTCCCCTCCAGGAATTCAGCCTCTGCTGTGTCTCACCCTACAGGCTGCTAGGCTCCTACCCTCACATCACGGTTTTGCCTTCCTGCAGCTGCCCTCCATCTCTTTCTGAGCGTCTCTGGGCTTTTTCTTCGTGAAAATCTCTCCTCAGTTCCTATTTCATACCTCAATCTCAGTTTATGTATCTCTGCTAACAAAATATACACACATGTCCTGAACTAAAACTTTTGCATGTTAGGCTGAGAACTAGGTCAATTTTTGTTGTACCCAGCTCCATTCTCCCTTTGTTGCATTATGTTTTAAAGTTATTTACAACATCTTCTTTGTGTTTTAAGGCCTCCTCCCTCTGGCATTTGCTTTTTCTACTGTTAAAAATGATAAATAATTGTAATTGATTTATACAGCAGCTTTTGGCTTTGCAAAGTTTGGTCTGAACCACTAAGTTAATATTTTTGGAGACTATGTGTTGCAGCCGGCTTTCTTTACCTGTCTGCGGCAACAACTCCCGTTCGAGGTGAGATGGCACGAGAGCTACACACCCACTGCCCCCGGGCCACTGAGACACAGACACCAATATGAGGATATCACAAATGGTGTTTATTAACTCTCTTTCACTGCTTTTATATGCAAACTACTTCGTTCCCGCCTTTGCAGTTACATCATAAGCTCTATCACGGGGCGGTCAGTCCCTATCCTTTCCGTACATCGCGAGATCTTCCGGTCGCCAATCCCTACAACTATGAAGAAGCAGTCAAATATCACTAACTAATGAAATTCAACAGACTACCATTTTTGAGACCTTACACGCGGTTTCTTTTTACTTTCATTGTCCAGGTCATAGCCATAGCTCTACCCTCAATACCTAGCCTACCAAAACGAGACTAGGATAAAAACCCTCCCTTGAAGTACCCAATTCAACTAGTTTTGCAACTGTGACATGCAAAAAGACTAACATTGGTATTGACATTCAAACTACAATACAGTCAACCCTTTTGGCAGTTTGCCTCCAGCACAAAATGAAAATGAAAAAAAAAAAGACCCACATCCCCTTCCCTAAAATAGTTTCTAGCCTGGAGTACTTACTGTTCCTATCAGGAAGGAGTAACGAAGAAATCTGCGGGGAAATGCCTGCACCTCATCTGCAGCCTGTATGTTGGCTTCAAAATGCAAACATAATAATCTGCATAGTTATATAGCATTTGCCCCTTAAAAACAATACTTGCCAACACCTAATGTAACAGCAGGGACAAATCTGGGCTTCCTGAATTGTATGTGGCTTGCAAACAGTCCAGCTATGGGTGGTACCTGCTGCTGATAGATTGTGCAATGAAAGGGGGCTGCATGGGCCCAGAGGCTGTCAGATCACAGCAAGTTCTTTGGCTAAAGGAGAAAAGAAACAAGGAAGAGTTTCTGTGGTCAGTATCATCATGTAATCCTCTTTTCTGAAGTGCTCCTCAGGTTGCCACACGCACCTGGCTTAGCTGACAAAGAAAAAACAAGCAAGAAGCTCTTACGCCACTGAAGGGAGTTACAAAACCCCTGTGGATTTCTAGGGGTCTGGAGGGAGACGTTGGGAAGCATTCTGATCTTTTCAGAAATCTTCCGCAATTTTGCCTTACCCAGCTCTTCATGCTGGGGCGAAGCCTGTCTCCCATAAACCCCCGTCATCTCACATGTCTTCCCCCAGTACCTACCTCCCTCTGCTTGTGCTCAGACACTGAGAGCTGCTGTGCAGAGGGCTGGGCGTTGCTAACCACCCCTGTTTAACAGGGCTGGGGACCAGCCTGCAGCCCTCTTGCCTCTACCATGCTCTAGTGACCAAGGTGCTAGATGATGTTGGGAGGACCTACTCCTGCCTGCTCGATTATGGGAGAGGCTATTAAGGCAGCAGCAATATTTGGGATATTGAAACTTGACTAGTGTGGGGGCTGAGGATGACTGTGCCAGGGAGGCTAGGATACTGAAAGTGCAGCACTGCCAATTCCAGCACAACACAGTCCTAAATGCCAGTAATAGCAGCTGTGGGCTGAGCTGCAGGCACAACCAGCCCTCCCCGCTCCTGTGCCACGCACTTCTCCAAGCAGTGCCCCAGGGACTGCCCCACTTACAAAACCCCTGTGGATTTCTAGGGGTCTGGAGGGAGACGTTGGGAAGCATTCTGATCTTTTCAGAAATCTTCCGCAATTTTGCCTTACCCAGCTCTTCATGCTGGGGCGAAGCCTGTCTCCCATAAACCCCCGTCATCTCACATGTCTTCCCCCAGTACCTACCTCCCTCTGCTTGTGCTCAGACACTGAGAGCTGCTGTGCAGAGGGCTGGGCGTTGCTAACCACCCCTGTTTAACAGGGCTGGGGACCAGCCTGCAGCCCTCTTGCCTCTACCATGCTCTAGTGACCAAGGTGCTAGATGATGTTGGGAGGACCTACTCCTGCCTGCTCGATTATGGGAGAGGCTATTAAGGCAGCAGCAATATTTGGGATATTGAAACTTGACTAGTGTGGGGGCTGAGGATGACTGTGCCAGGGAGGCTAGGATACTGAAAGTGCAGCACTGCCAATTCCAGCACAACACAGTCCTAAATGCCAGTAATAGCAGCTGTGGGCTGAGCTGCAGGCACAACCAGCCCTCCCCGCTCCTGTGCCACGCACTTCTCCAAGCAGTGCCCCAGGGACTGCCCCACTTGCAGGAGCCATCCTCACCCACTTTCATCCATGAGATAGGAGGTCGGGCTCCTTAAGGTCCGCTGGAAGTTGGCCAGAATACTGTCTGCCACCTGGAGCTCTGAGAAAGCAATTCTAAAATATGGAGTCAGGTTTTTAACCAGAATGCCAAGGATCAGTTCTCCATTCAGGTCTCTAGTTTTCCAGTCTTTCCTGCAAGGACACGTTATTACATACTGTAAATGAGCCTTGAGCACAGACAAAAGCCATAAAACACCTGTGTGTCAGTGTTTGTGTTTGATGTGTTTGTGCTCATCTAAAGTTACCTGAGAATGTTCAGGTACACAGATGGACAGAAACGAGAATACTTTATTATGTCAAATGTACTGTTAAAAAAAATCACACGCGCTGTTCAAATTACTCCTTAAGTCACGTAATATCTGTTAAAGCATTGATGTACCATACGTAAAGGCATCAAGATGAGCATTACAAACCAAGGACATCAGAACACTTGATGCAGCGTGTAACCTGGCTTTCTGAAGCAGCATGCTCACAGCTGCAGACCTGTGCAAGCGCTCGTTAGTGCAAGCCTTTGCTCCGTACCAAAATGCCATGTGCAAGTGCAGGTTAGAAGGTCTGAAGAAGGGTTTGCTGGTGCTCTCTGCAGCTGTTCTGTGACTGTATCTTTTTGGACTGTTACCATCCTACATGTGTGTGCACAAGCACACACACACACAGAGCGCTAACTGTACTAGATACACTTCTTAGATAACAGCCACAATGTCAGTAGAGATAGAACATGCAAGAGATGAGCCACAGAGCTACTTTCTTTGAAAAGAAATCAATCACCATGGTGAAGATCTATATAGATATTCTCGAGGGTAAAAATGTAAAATGGCTCCAGAAGTTAAATGAGCGGTTACACATTCTTTCTATTGATTTCTGTATTGCTTTTAGGGTACTACTTATCCAAAGGCACCCAGTGCAAACAAGAGCTTGGCACACTTTGAAGGTTATGCCACATCCTGCTTGCTTTACGCAAAGAGATGAATTCAATGAGATGGCTTCTGTGCACAAGGCAGGAAATACTTACTCGCAAGTTCCTTATTTCCTTGGCAAACGCATTATAAAGCATGCTGCCAGTTCTGCAAGCCTTTAGGCACTGCATTTAATCGGGCTGTTTATATAAGCAGTATTTGCCCAAATGCTGACCAGATCAAATCCTGTGCCAGAGCTGGAATTTTCATATGAAGTCATGCTTTAAGGAGGGAGGACACTCCTTACTGAGAGTCCTCTTCCATTGCTGCAGCAGTAATGGTGTGGGTGAGAGCTACACACCCAGGGGTTTTAAACCTATATTTCCATACAGCGCCATTCCACTTGCTTGTTGTGAGATTGATGGTTAAAGATAAGGCAACAAGAAGCGCTGGCCTTTCTGGTTTTAATGGACTCAGGATATCCACTATGATTTACATGTTGCATATGCAGCTGTCTGGCACAGAACATGCTGCTGTTAACTCTTCTTGCAGGTCAGCCGGGACAGAAAGCACCATCAACCTCTCAAAAAGAATCAGCTGAGATTGCAGCTGTTAGCATCTGTCCCTGTATGTTGACAAAAAAAAGAGCATTATGGTTCTCAGACAGCAACAGAACAACAAAAGTCTTGAGGGAAGAAGACCAAGACAGATGGTGGCCAACAGAAAGAAAAAGACAGAGAAAAAAGACATTTTTCTGCACCTAGGCAGAAATTGTACCTAATTATTGTACCCATGTTAGAGTTCACTGTGGGCCAACGCTATGTAGGTAAGCAGAAAGAGAACTTCAGACTTGCAAGAAATCCTCTCACAACCCTGGAATAGCTGCTAAAGGAACCCGAATATGCGGAGTGCTTCCACTGATTCAAGTGGTATTGAGTTTCCTCACATTTAACTTGGTGGAAATATCAGCAGAGTCCCTGCAAATGTTTTCTAGCTGCATATTTATTTCTAGCTGAATACTACCCTTTTTTCCAAAGGTAGAATACTCAGAATCCATCTGCTGGGTAAAGGATTAAATAACCCATGCTAATACAGTGTTAACAGTGAGTACTTTGCAACATGTGTGGAACTGGCTCTGCACAGGGTTCCTGAAGGGAAGTCAAATGCTCAATTTTCATACACAAACTATTAAGAGAAAAAAAAAAAGAAGAAGCCTAGCAGCTCACACAATTTTCATCTTAAGTCACACTGCAAGAAAACTTCCTGCTGTAGAGACCATGAGATACAGGGGGGTATTACAGAGGGGTGTGCTTCCACCGAACCACGTGCAGCACGGGTTTTTTTTTGTACTCCCTCTTCCCTTGTCTCCTAATTTTCTGGTAAGCAATGGTGGAGGCTGAAGCATCTTCCCTCTGAGCTTCTGCTGCCTTCAATGTGGTTGAACACATTGCTTCTGAATTACTTTAACATGCATATAATATAACTGGTACAACTCATTATTTTTCCAGTACCCAGCTGAGTCCTCGTTCTTACTCATTCTAATGTGTCTACTGCATGTGCTTTAGCATTGTGGGAGGTGAGACTCCAAATATCCTGGCAAAAAGGGGGTCCCCTTCCCTGGAGGTAGGACTTTGCTGAGAGAAGATACTGAACAGAGTCTAACCAGCATCAGTGAGAGCTGCACTTCATGCTTTTCTTGGTCCCCAGCCTGTATTTTCCCCATGTCCTCTTATCCCCAGTTATAGGCTGACGAACCATCCCAGCCTTACCTTACCTTATGAGGGCATACATTCAAAGTGTGGCCATATTGTGACAGCATGCTATTTTACACCACCCAGAACTACAGCTCATTCCTCTTCATTATCTTATGTACATGGATACTTCCTTGGAGATTACTGTTTAACTAATCTAATGTTTAGTTATTCCTAATTTCAAACTGGAATGGATATAAAACATTCTTTCTTGATCTGTTTTAATTAATATTATGGTAGCTTTTTGCACCTGTTTAGTAACCCTTAGCAATTTCCAAATATGAAACAGTACTCTAAATAATCCGTAAAATAACAAAATATTTAGTATTTCTTTTCTTCTTGCTAAAATTACAGAATCCCATTACTTCCAAAAAGGTTGTTTTTCTAAGATTCAATAGGATTTTACTTTCAAAACCATGCCAGATGTTACAGGCAGTTCAGATGCTTTTGTACTTTTTTTGTTTCTTCATAATTCCAGCTTTCCCTATTTATTTTCTTTCTTTAAGATGGATTAGGGGAAATGGCACTTCGGAGAAATCCCTGAGAGATCACTTGACTTAACTTCTGCGGGTTGAGTTACCGTATATTTGAATAAATTACTTAGGTAACTGCTTCATCTGCCAGAAAATTAAGTTTTAAATAAATGGAACTGTACAAGAACAAGGTGATGAAATCTGCAGCAAGCTTTACTGGATGTCTTGATTACAGAAACAATGTTGTACACTTTGTTCCCTAGTTTGGTGGTTTGGGGTTTTTTTGCACTGTTCGTGCATATTTGGGGTCTTCTGCCCTGAAATGGTGATGGAATGCATGTGCCAGCATTACATGCTTTTTCCCCATTTTAAGTGTTTGTAGTTTCAAACATTCATTGAAACATGGTTTAAAAGTCACTGAAAGAAATGCCAACATGCATCTTAGAGCAGAATTTCAAACTACGAATCTGTTGCAGGGGAATGGGATGTATGTCTAGCAGCATGCTCTGAAGTGTGATTCATCATTTGATGTAACCAGCGCATCATAACATACGTTTCCCATCTGACAAAGGCAGGTAATGCACCCTTTACCTGCCCCAGGTCTTTTGTCCTTGGAGTCATAAATCCCCTGGACTTTGTGTTTCACACAGTCGCTAAAGCAAAGCAGCACCGAGGAGCATGCCTGCCACAGTTCTGCCTGCCTGAGGCCTTTCTCCGTGGCTTCCTCTCTAAACACACAGTAACAGCATTGTAAAATGAACCTCACAGCCTCTGAAGTCCTTTCTTCTTTTCTTTTTTTAAAAAGTATTTGTATTGTTAGTCCAACAGTAAGTTGCCATGTTTCATTTTCTCTTACCTAACACACTTATTAGCTATTTAATTCCATATGTTGATGAAATTGTGGGAAGCTGTGAGCTCACTACCTAAAGTGTGCATATCTACAGTGTTGCCAGAAAGTAGTATGGGTACATCTGAAGTTCTTGTGTGATCCTCCTCATTATAACATTTAAGAGGTTTGCAGTTCCCTTATAGGGGAAATTATTTTCCTTCATTCTCCATCGAGAATAAAAATATAGGCAGAAGTCTCTGCAAGTGATTGCAGCTGAGTATGTAGTTATCTAATTCCCACTGAATGCAACTGAAATAAAGCAAAAACTTAGGCAGTATTATACAGAAAAATGGCTGCAAAACAGATAATTGACCCTAAATCCTTCTTTTCAAAGAAGTTGCTTTCTGCACATGCTGCAGTCCTAATTATGACTGCAATGAAACATAATCAAGTGCAAATTAAATAAATTCTTTGCCTTTATTATATCTCTGTTCCTCTTCAGTCCACGTATAATCAGTCTTCCCTTCACATCCAGTCTGCACTGCAGACTATAATTAAACAATGAAAATCTGACATTTATTTATAGTGGAAAATTGTTTAAAGAACCATTTAGTACATTGACATTTTTGTTTCACTGGTGCAAAATTTGTCCTTGATATTCCTTTATTCCATCTGCTCTTCCTTCGATGAATTTTAATGCTCTCATCCTCCTTCATATGCTCATTCATTTTGCATTTAATTTATTGGTTTGACAGGAGCCAGCCTCACCTCAGCCACTGTCGGACAACACTGCAGGGTCCACTGCAGACCACTTTGTATTTCCACAAAGCATGTTCAGAGGAAATTTACTGAGGAAACCACATGCATAATTAAATACTAGTGACCAAAAAAATCTGGCATGTTCTTAACATTAAAAGGAAATTTCTTCAGAGGCTGTTTCCAGCTAGGTAAGAATTCCTTCTTTGCCCTTCCTCAGTACTACATTGTTATATAGGAGGTCTCTTCCCTGCTGATCCAGTATAACATGTTGGTCAAATTGCTACAGAAAGTTTCCTATATATGTAGCCTTTGAAATCACATCCAAAGGAATTACAGCCTGACAGCCACACTCTTTGTGTTGTGGCATAGCTAGACAAACCTAACTGTGAAAAGGACAGATTTGTTCCTTTTCCTTAAATGCACTTGTTTTCATGGGCAGAGTTTGTGCTGAGTCTCCAAAAACCCTCCAAGAAACTGACTTCAGGTCGGGAGGAAATCTGAGGCAGAGGAAAGCAGCCCTCCCAAACAGAAAATGTATGAATGGACTGATGAAGATCTACACAGAAACATCAGTGCTGGCTCACCTGCAGGTGGACAGCAATGGACCACAGATTTTTATCTTAAATACGCACTTAGGAAGGGAAGGAAGCATTGCAACGACCTTCTCATTTTTTCCTTTACAAATGGACTGGAAAAAGTGCAGAGCGTGGCATGGGTCACTGCCTGCTTGTTTTCACTACAGCAATTCTACTGCACAGAGAGCAGAATGGCAAGATTCCCATGCTCAGCTACGGTTTCAGCTGGAAAGGGGCAGTTTGGGGGCAGCTGCATCAACCTTTGCACATGGCCACCGACCTCAGAGAACAGGGCTGCAGGTGAAGTGGTGGAACTGTTCCCATTTTTATGGCCTAACACAGAGAACACCATCCTTCCTTCCAGGTTCTACAGACTGTAGTTTCACTGGCTGTTTATTTAATCCTGACTAATCCTGGACTCAAGCCATAGCCTTTCGGGGAGATGAGAGGAGAAGCTGAGGCACATACTGTGAGAAAAAGGAACGCATAATTTGAAAAGTAGATGCTTTTACTCCTCCGTCTGATGCATACCAGATTATTGAAGTGCTAACTAAATGGAAATATGTGCTTCTAAAAAGAGCAAATTATTTAAACTTACTGCTATTTATCAAAGTGTGAAGATGTGCTGTTCCTCTCTTTTCCTGTCCTCAGATTTATTCTTGCTGGCAGAAAAAAAAGAAGTCACAGGCAAGACAAACTTCTAAAAAACTGAATAAAGCTATCATAAAAGCTTCACTAGGGAAGCCTTTCAAGAGAATTGGGGATCTGGATATCTACACCACAGATTTACCCCATACAAGCAACACATATTTTACACTCAATGATGACTGAATTTCTACTAGAGTTAGCAAAATATCAAACCTGTGTCGCTCTAAAATAGCAGCCTTAATACTGAATTCAAGTTGCAATTTGTCCTTTGCATTAAGTGATTAATTTCCCATAAAGCTAAAGATCGAAGATTTGACAGCCCACTGAACTCCAGAGTTCAGGATTAAATATGGCAAGTAGTTTGGAAAGAGTTATCTAAGGCAGGGAAGTACTAGGACTCAGCTCTTCCTGTAAGTTGGTCAGCCTTTATTTTTAGTTTTCAATTGCCAATATTCTTTTTCCCTTTTGTAAAGGAAGTGTAAAGAACTGCCAGTACTTGAAGCTAAATTACTTTATTTACAGGTTCAGTGTGATACCAGCCGGACTGATGCTATGCAGCATTCAGACCAGTTCAGCTCCTTCAGCTGGCATGACCTCTAAGAGAAAGAATAAATCCTAATGCTAGATTTAGTCACTGAAGTTGCCACACGTGTTGATCTCATATTACCTGAAAAACTGCCCAAGAACTCGGCATCTTGGGGAAGGTACAAGCCACTCTTCCAGATTAAACGTTTAACTTCTAAGCTACTTCCAGAACAATTCTTTGTGGAGGTGCTTTGCAGTGTACAACAGCATTCCCTGTAAAAATCACAACTAAATACTTCCTTTACCAAAGTGCACAGGAACAGAGAAGGGAGTTAATTTGGCCCTGCTCAATGAGAAAAGCCACCTTGTTTCACACAGTTAAACTACAGTTTAAAGAACTGTTACCCTTAAGGCTCATCTTTTAAGACTGATGGTGCATACTCTGGAAGAAAGGCACATACATCTGCTCTAAAATTCTGCAGTTCCAGTAAACCTGAAAAAGTTCAATGTGATTGAATTGTGTTATTGTGAGCCTATTAAAAATTACAGTTCCTGTTGTAAAGAATCAACCTTTTCCCATCCCAAGTAATTAAGTGAAAGCCCCTGTAATGTTTTAAACAGTTTCAGCTAACACTTCAAACTTTGCAGAGGGAATGCAACAATACTTCCTGTCTTTTTAATATTATTTATTATTAAGGAAAAAAAAAAAGATATATATGAACACAAAGCCAACAGTATAAAGAATAGATTCACATCCAGAGTGAAACAAAAATGGAAATGGAAGCTGGGGAGATGACTGGGTACTGGAACATGAACCAACAGGTAAGCAAGGAGTAAGGGGAAGAGGAACAGACCAACTACCACCAACTAGCACAGAGAAGCCTTTAATTACCAGCTGCTCATTAAGCAGGTTTTTGAGAGTCTTTCAAGGTTGGAAAGTTAAATTTGCAGAAAGCAAACACCTGCTGGGCCCAGATAGTGACCAACTCTGAGATTCTTTTAGGCTCAGTTCCTTGCTTGGCTTCCTATTTATCCTTGCCTGGATACCCCCTGAATTCCTATTTAAGATCACATTGAAACAAGAGCAACAAATAGGCCTCTCAGTCTCTTACATTAGCAGTCTTTTGCCTATCATCAACTTGATTTTCCTCATCTCAGCACTGCAAACGTCAGTTTGTCCTTGCTGCCCAGGAATGCACAAGGACAGCAGGAACATGGAATGTTAATGCACAGACCATAAACATACTGCATAGAAGCGCAAGGAGAATTTTTCTGAAGGCCACTGAATTCTACCAACTTCTTTTTATCATGTCCTTTGTTTTCAGCAGTTGTCTATGCTATTCAGGTGACTGATTCTGTATTTTTATTACAAGTATTCAAGATTTAGGTAAGATGAAGCACATAAATGCCTGTCAAATCCCAAGCTTGATCCTGTAAGTTGACATTTCTGCACTATTAATGTGTTAATTCTTGTTAAAAATAAAAACCTGAAACACAAGACAGCAGAAAAACACCGAAGCAATAGTCACGTGAAGAGTTCCCCCACATGCGGTTTCCTCAAATATCATACAGAAGACCGCCATCTACTGTTGACATCACTAAGTCTTCTAGTATATACATTGCATGGTAACAGGCAATACTATTTTACATCACTACTAAGAGAGTGAAGACCTACCAGGCCTTAGTTCTATGAAATCAATCTGAAGGATAAAATCAGTAATACACTACACCCATAGCCTAAAGCAAGGGGTCGATGAGAGATTAATTCCCCCCCGATTCCAATGTGTCATGGGATGCATACCTTAATTCTTGTAAAATTTGTCATTCTTGCCAGGTCCATTTAATTATTTCTGCTCAAAAATTAGTCATTTCGCTTGAGGTAATGTTCTGTTTTGTCTTCTCTTTACAGCTGCAACTACCTTCTCTTTTCTCTCCCTTGCATACCCCTCTCTCATGCTCCTTATGGAAAAAAGAAGCCTGTAGGCAGACTGCAGAGGGAGGGATGAGAAATCAGACATTCCTTAGGGAAGTAAACAACACAAGAGACCTTGAACAGCACATCCCCGACAGACCGAGACATTGTTTTGTAGTGGAGACACTAGACCGCAACAGATAGCAAGAACTCCATTCCTGTCACTCTACCTCCCATAATTTGCCCGCTGCCTTCTAGCTACGATGCAGGGAGCATCAGTGCAATTGAAAGAGGGTTACTGACAATGTATTTGCTGCTGCCTGCCCTGCCCGTGGCAGCCAGAGGCAACAGTTTGAACGAAAGGAGCACTTACCGCACTGGTGTGCTGTGTGAGGAAATGCAGGCACTAGTTTTCTGTTTTACTCGGTCAGTGAAGCCATGTCAGAACCCACACGGATATGCAATATTGACATCTTGGAGGCTTATGAAAAATAAACAGGATCACTGGGACCTGAAATAGAGCTAAGAGGTATTACTGGGCTACCTCACTCCTGTGTGAGGTATTTAGATCCTAGCATGGTGCCTATTACTCATCTCACGCAGAGAAGATTCTATGTATCACTGTAGTTGTATCTATCCAATTAAAATGGAAGTGAATAGATCATTGTGATGAACTCCACAAGGAGCAAGTAAGTCTCCTTTAAAAAAATGGAAGTGATAAGGTCTTGGTAAATAAATTCACCATAAATTCACTCTAGGCAAGTCAGGTGGCTTGCAACTGAGCAACAAGCCTCTTTTCTTTGGAAAATGCCTCAGTAAGTCACTCTACAATTGCAAGATAAAAAACTTTAATTCATAAACCATATGATCTAAACCCACATTGTTAGGTTAGGCTGTGGCTGGGGTCTCTCCCACACACACTCTCCCATCTGTAAAACCTGAATAATTTATTCAGCTAAACCTTAAGAACTCTCTAAAACATCACAAGGGATTTACCATCACAAAGGTACAATTAAGGACAACTTCAGAAATCATGCTTTTGGTACAAAGCATAAATTTAATGGTAAATGCCACAACATGGTTTTTCATTACTTCAAAGCAGCATATGATTGACAATAAAATTATAAATAAATATTATCAGGATTAAGCACTGCATTTAATTTGTATTTAGTTTTGAAAAATTCTGGATTGCTAGGAAACACTCTCTGTCAGACAACTGTCATAATTAAAAACATTCCTGGCTGAAGTAACACAACTCAGCAGTGTATTTTTAAGAGAACTGTGTGTGTTGAGTTTCTGTGGAAGTATTAGTATCTTCCACAGAAGAAATGCATTATGATATCACAGCACACAATAAAATCAGTAACTTGGTTTCAGTCTCTGCTTTCCTGATAACAATATTTAACTGTTTTTGAAATTTAGCTTTAAAACAGGCATCCACTACTGGTTTTCAGAGATCTTTTTACAGGATATTAACCTTCTGGGGAGAAGGGCATATTTTCCTCAGGATTCATGCTTTTTTGTCGGTTTATCAATGTAAGGAGTGTTGTCCTGTAGCAGATCTTTCCTGGGTATGAGCACTGTAATAGAAAAAAAAGACAACTATAACAATATAATCTTATGGAAAATACTACTTAAAATTTGAAAGTTGGTTTTACACTTACAAAAAAAAAGGTTACTACAAAAAATTAGGTTACTGAAATGAGAATCTGAACTCTTGGTAACGTACAAGCAGCACTGTGATATCTACTCAAGAAAAATGATAATAACATTTTTACTATCTGTTGGTCAGAATATTGCCTTCCCCTTTTTCCTTTTAAAAGCACTGGAAATATTTTAATAGCATTAAGAATCCATAAAAAGTGGCAAAGTGTTGCCATAACTTTCAGCAAGAAAGAGAATGGCAATTTTATCATGCCTGAATCAGATTGCTTACTTCAACAGTTCAAAAAATGAATACTAAATTTGACTTAGCCCTCTCCCTCAGTGCTCTGGAATCTGATATGTCACCTTGTCAAGCCTGTTTTAAAGAACAACAGGAAAAGAAAGCATCAAATGAAAATTATGGCTGCTGTATCATCACCAAAGTGCAGTGCGTTAGGGTCTGTCTGATTACACACTATTTTAATTAACCTCTTCATGACTCTAAGTTATTGCCATCCAGCTCTTCAGAAATCAGCCTGTCCTTTCTTCATGAAGGGAAGGAGCTGTGTCATGTCGGATTTGTGCCAGCAGCAAAAACTGAAGCACAAACACCTGAAATCATAATGCTGTACTTTGACTAGGTCAAATGGCTGCAACAGGTACAGTAAACCTGTAAAACTGCGTCTGTTTGTCTGCATGTGTGTAACAAGTAACATTCTGTCCAAAGTGCGCTGATATCCCATATCTTATAAGAAAACTGATTTCCTGGAAGGTTTGTTCCTTTTGCATCTGTGTACTGATACTGATGCATTTAATAAGTTTATAAGAGCTTTAAGTAAAATTTCAATTGTGCTTTTCTTAGATAAAATACTCTTGAGTAAATTTAGGACAAAAAGTTGTTCTACACACCTAGAATAGGTACATGAAACAGAAATATCAAAGAAAAACAGAATTGGATACAAAGTATTGAAAAACAGAAGTCCAAACAAATAAAGATTGAAAGAAGAATTTTTGACCTTCCTTTTCAAAGTTAAGTTTTGAGCATACACTGCCAACACACGAAATCAAAACCATTGGAACATACTGCATGTGTGGTGTATTAAAAACAAGTAAGCTCTACTGTATCAGCTTAATCTGAAATTAAAGTTAAATGAATAGAAGAGACATTTGTTTATTACTGAGTAACCTAACTCAGACTGGAACATTTAAAAAAAAAATCAGAGAAATTGTCTGATTAACAAGCTCCTAACTGAAATTGTCTTCTCCTTAGTAAGAAAACCTCAGCCTAGTATCTTTTTTTAAAGATTTACCAGTGAATCCCAACATGACTATACACCACCGCATCTGAAATTCTTTTTAAAGTATAACATTGCCCTGTGCACTGCTTCTCTGACAGCACAGAATAATTTCATTTGATTAGAGAAAATGTTCCCCTTACCAATATTTGTTCCCACTGTCTAAGACAAGTCTTTGGCTTACTCTTTTCAGTTACTAAGTAGTTATTTTAGAGATGCAGGATTGGGAAAAAAAAAAAAAAAGGAGGAAAACACCAGGTGTAGCTACATTGTATAGTGTCTGCTATAATAGAAAAAACATAGAGTCAAAAGATTCTGACAGTCACTCACTTAAGGAAACCAGCTGCAGCAACAGGTTTCTAAAACATTTTACCTAGCTTCTTTTACCCCTGCTCTTCTTTCATACAACATAGCAATTGATCACTTCAATCTTTTTTGGGGTGGGGGGGGCGATGGCTTGGGATGAAGCAAGGGCATAATACTAATTTAAATACAGCCCAAAGGTAAGTATTTTACAACATCTTTTTTCAAATAGGCCAATATACTTTCTATTACAGCAGAGTAAACCTTCACCTACAAAGTTTCCAATACAAACATGTAGCAACTAAGATGAAGCACTATGAAAAATGAACTTTTCAATGGAGGTCACTTATTTTTATTTGCCAACAAACAGCAACTCAAGCAGTCACCGTAGGGCTGCACTTCCACTTTTTTTTTCCCCCCGTTAATAAATCTGCCCCAAGCTTCCCATTTAATACAAGATGATACCATAAAAGCAATGACGGAGCTAACTGTAATTATAGTGGCACTATAAAAGTTACCACAGACCATAAAGATTAAGGATCAAAAGGTTGATTTTATTCTGCTAAAAGTTCCTTAATCAAAGCTGTACTGGAACTGAGTTCAAATGTGCTGCCTAAGCAAACTCATATACCTACACAGGCATTTCCTACAACAAACTTCCTGCCAGAAACTGCTCCTAGGTGCCAAAAAGCAAAGGCAAGTGAGAAGATCCACTTGGTATTTTCATCATATACATGCACAAGATGTTTGGAAGGGACATAGTCAGGACAGCTGACCCCAACTGACCAAAGGGATATCCCACACCATCTGACATCGTGCTCAGCAATGAAAGCTGGGAGAAGGAGGAAGAAGGGGACATTTGCAATGATGGTGTTTGTCTTCCCAAGTAACTGCTACGCGTGATGGAGCCCTGCTTGCCTGCGGATGGCTCTAAACACCTGCCTGCCAATGGGAAGTACTGAATGAATTCCTTGTTTTGCTTTGCTTATGCACACAGCTTTTGCTTTACCTATTAAACTGTCTTGATCTCAACCCACAAGTTTTCTTACTTTTACCCTTCTGATTCTCTCCCTCATCCCAGCAGGGGGGAGTGAGTGAGCAGCTGCCTGGGGCTTAGTCGCTGGCTCAAGTTAAACCACGACAACACCTAGCCACTGATTCAACTGGAAGTTGAAGTCCCACTTCCAACTTTTTTCCTCTTCTTAATCTCAGACAACTTTTCTTTACAAACAAGAAAGGATGGAAACACTAGGGTGAGATATTCAACAGAATGGAGCAGCAGTGGAAACCACACCCATTTATAGGTACAATTTCACACAGTGAATTTCACATACTATGCTATTCAGGATAAACTACTATCAAAATATGGCGACAGTTATCTAAACTCCCTAATAAGTTCTGAATTTCTGGTTTCAGAAATTTTCTAATGGTATACTCTGTGCTATCAGTGACACTAATAATATAGTAAGAGCTATATGAGAATTGCCTAGTTCAGAGTGCTATCTGACTAATAAAAGCTTTCTTAGAAAATATGCAAACACATTAGAAGCCTGCTCAGAGAATGGCCCTTAGAAATAATGTTCTGTTACTGATCAATTTACCATGGTATAAAGGTCTGTATGTTCCTTTTGTAAAGAGATTTGCTTTTACTCTTTCACTACAGTATCAAGCTAAGCATCAGGTTTATCTTCTGCTTTTTTGTATTTTGAGTAATATCTTGCTCCTGGCCACAACATTTTTTCACTGCCATGACCTTTATTCTGTAAAATAAAAATGCTTTTTTTTTATTAGCTTTGAATGAAAATTCCACTATTTCTCAAAGAAGTCTGTAAAATTAGGTGGGGGCAATTCTATCACTTTTTGTTTCTGGAACTTTTAAGAGACAGCATTAAAGCTCTGCTACAGTCAAAACAATCACCACTACTTTCCCCTTGCCTGCTGAGTCACATCACTTCACTGTAGAAGGGTATCATATTGGTCGGAGAAGACCTCCCCTTCATAAATCCTTGCTGACGACTTCCAGACCCCATTCTGGTTTTAGAACATTTGGAAACAGCCTCCAGGATTAGCTCAACCACCTTCCCAGGGATCAAGGTGAGGCTGACCAGTTTCCCAGACCCTCCCTCTTGCCCTCCTGAAAAAAGGAGCAACATTTGCTTTCTTCCAGTCCTTGGCCAACTCCCCTAATCACCATGACCTTTCAAAGGTGATTGAGAATGGCCTTGCAATGACATCAGCCAGCTCCCTCACCACCCATGTCCCATGGATCTGTGTATGCCCCATCTGTTAAAATGTTCATTAGCCTTTTCCTCCTCTACCAAAAGTCATCCTCACTCCAGACATTCCCAGTGGTCTGAGGCCCAGAATTCCTCAAAGCAAACCTTAGCAGTAAAGACTGAGGTAAAGAAGGTACTAAGCACCTCAATCTCATCTGTGTCCTCTGTTACCAAGTCCCCTGCCCTATTCAGCTCTGGACCCACATCTTCCCCCCTATACCTGTAGAAGCTCTTCTTGCTGTCCTTCATGTTCCTTGCGAAGATCAACTCCAGGTGGGCTCTACCTGTCCTAACTGCATCCCTACACACTCACATGGTATTAGAATATAAAGCAGTATTTGAACATTAATTCATGTGACTTTTGCAAGAGAAGTTCTGCCTTACAGTCCCTGCTGGAGTTCTCTGAATAGCTCTCAGGGGGCTGCCACAACATGCTTGGATTCCCAAAAGTCCCTCAGTGAATGCTTTTAAGAAAACAATAGCCTTATTATTACAGAAGGTCTTGCATGGACAAGTCACTGGTTAAACTGTAGGAAGTGAAAATAAATGAACAGGTCTCCCAGTGGAGGGATGTCAAAGGTGGAGTTCTACAGGTATTTTTGTTGGTGTCTCTTCTGTTCAACATATTTATAAGTAACCTGGAAAAGAATGTTTTTAATGATACCATCCTGAATAAGTTCTTTAAGAAAATGGCTTACTCTGAAGAATTGCAGGACGAGCTTAAGACTTGACTGAAGAACCAGTAAAATGACAGACAAAATTACATGTAGAGACATGCAATGCACACAGGTCAACCCCCCCCCCTCCACCCACCATTTCACAAAGAAAGTGACAGGTTCAAAACTGACTACGACTATTCAGATGAGTTTAATAAATACAAGATAACTTTGTAAAAATAAATATATGTATGCACAGCAGCCAAAAATGAGGTTTAGAATTAGGAATGACTAGGAAACCAATTGAGAATGAAAGAGAAAACAGTGTGCCATCATTGTGTGTACAAATGCCTGGTTTGCCCACAGCTTGATAACTGTGCTCAGCTCTCATTGAGGAAGCGCTCTTCATCATCTTAAGAGAGACACAGCAGAACTGAAAAGGGTGCAGAGGATAGCAACAGAATGACCACAGGTGAATACTGTGGTCACCTGCTGTTTCACAGAGAAGCTATACTGTAGAGGGGAAAAAACAAAAGGGGGGCAATAAGGGGATCAAAACCTCATGAATAGCTTGGTGAAAATATATAGTAATTGAAGAGTAGGACCAGATTCAAAACTACAGCAAGTGATTCTTCATAAAAGCCAGAGTAAATTCTTTGTCAAAGGTTCTTGGATGCAAGAAATTTGCATAGGTTGACAGGAGCAAGTTCATGAGAGGAAAACCCACTGAGGATAACTAAAACAGAAACCATCCCTGGCTGCCTGGTGAAAACATCTGGAAGATGTGAAAGTTCACTTGCTCTGTTCTCGCTCTTCTCCTGTCATCTGCCTCACACCACTGTGGAAGACTTGACACTGGTCTAGACATATCTTTGGCCTGGACCATAAAGGCTGTTCTAAAGTTACATGCTTCACCAAATCTAAAACTGAGAGTTACAAAGCATTACAGACACCATTGAACAGAAGTGAAATGTAACAATGTACACAGATGAAGATTTCTCCTATCCTCTACCATGCAGCTGTATGCGGAACCTACTGCCTCTCCTGTGTTTGACTGTAGGATAAAAGAACTTCTAAACCGGGAACCAAAATTTCAGAATTTTGATAGGCTTTGCATCAAGGCCATCATTGTGCCACAAATCTTCCAAGGCATAATCTGAAACTTAAGTTGTCAGAACAAGGTTTTGGAAAAGAACACTCAATCCTCAAAGAAAAAACTATTCTATGGTACATACTGCATTTGGTAATTCTCCTCAGGCAGCTTCTACCTATTTGGTAGAGCAAGCACCTACAGATACTTTGGCTACTACATTTAGACATACACTGAATGACTAGCCAGTACATGCATGCCAACTTGCTACCTAATTTTTGTTACTCCTAATAGTTAAGGTACCAAGTTATCACTTCTTCTCTCAGTGAGGGCATTAAATGCAATCACTGCCTCTTTTCTACCAGCCTCCATGTTTCAAACTATTTGTGTAGAAACTTTGCACATTTGAAACCTCCACCTGTCCTAGGTCATGACATTAGTCTACAGGCTTCAGTTAAGTGCTTGGGAAGAGAAATGACAGACAAGACAGACTTCTGCCTTCTCTATCCCTTTACTTAGTTTTCAATCCTTATATTTATTTACTGAACAACAACATTTAAAAACATCTTTTGAGCATGCAGCTTTACTTACATAGTTTGTCGGAATCTGTGTGAACTGCCTGAATAACTGAAGTTCTGAGAATCACTTCAACATCCGAAGCTATTTTCAGAAGCTAGTAAAAGGAAAAAAACCAAAACAAACACATCTCACATTCTAATACTGCAGATAGTGACTCCTGCCTCCTTAGGTCACTACGTAACTTAAGTATTTGATGTCTTATCAGAAGATATTGCAGCTTTCTATTCTGGCAAAGTAATGCACATTTGGTTGGTCAATACTCATATTTTTAGCGGCTGTCCAAAGCAGAACACTAACAGCCCCATGTTTATGCAAGCAAGTGCCCAAATTCTCACAAGTCCTGTGTAACATTTGATTCAGTTCCTCTGCATCCGAGCCTATTCAGTGTATATACATAATAAAATTGACAGCTTACATGCTATTTTAGGATTCTCTAGTTGTGATGAAAGTCTAGAATTTCTCCTACTGACATATTTAATCAAGATATCAATTAACCCATATTAAAAAGTTAAATGTGTATTTTTTACATTGCCATTCCTAACAAATACAGATTTAAAAATTACAGCAAGTATTTTCCTGTACATTTATATCAAAAAGAACATACAATTTAACAGATCAGAAACTGGGAACACAAACACAGAAGTATTACTACAGGGGCCTGATAACAAGCAGAAATGCTAGAACATCCTAACTAAATGCTCAGAACTATTCATGTTACTGTCCAGTGGCTGGTATGGTGCAAAAGTTTAGATTTACTTCTGCAAAGGACAGGTCGAGGCACTTTCTTCCAACTAGTGCCCAACAACAGTGTAAATATGTTCTGTTAAAAGGCTGAATGACAAGGACTAAATTAAGTGTTAAGAACTGAAAATACCTAAATTACGGAAGTTTCATTTCAGGCCTCAGTAAGTTTTACTCGTGTTAAGAGAACACAGGAGCAAAGGAACTTACATAGTGAGTTAACAGAATGTTCTACTCCTTTTAAGGCACCATGACGAAAGAAGCAGCAAAAACCCCCCAGCAGTATAATTAATACCTTTGTATTACAACAGTCACGATAATTTGGCTGGTTTTTGCCTTCCACAAAAGATGGTGCCTCATTTGTGATCAGGAATCAAAATAAATTCTCATGTCTGCCAGTAACTGAGAAGATTATTTAATTTTTCTTTATCTTTCTCCGCTTGTCTATACAACAAAGACCAAGTAAACTTAAGTAACCAGAGCTCAGACAGACATTATGAGCAAAGAATATGAAATCTTTACATGAAAATAGCAACATAAAACTATTTTCCATAATTTTATTATAAGCTCCAAAATAAGCATATTGAACTACCAGAAGACAGTTTCTCCTTATGTATTTTTGTATGTGCAAAATAGTATAACATACTATTAATACTAATGGAGGTATCAATAAACAAAAAGCCATGTAAAAGCTTTTCAGAACTCATCTGGCGCTCACAACGTCTCAATAAGTACTTACATATTAGGTTAGAGAACCTTCAAGTAAAAAGCTCCTATATAAGTATTCTTATGCAAAGTGGAAAAAACCCAATGAAAAAAATAAGTACCTCATTTATTTTCTCTTCAGATGTCTCATCTTGGTTATTTTTGAATTCTTCGTTTATCTTTTGTCTTGCTGCTAAATAAAGTAAACAAAAAAACCTAAAGCATGAACAAAAAATTCTATCTTGCCTTTGCCACTGCCTAACAGCTCAGAATCTGAAGTCCTTTATAGCACCTTTCTGGTACACTCTGCCTGAAGTATTTTAATGTAAGATTTCCATGGAATTCAGGTGATGCAGTATTTTAAGTTGAATGGCACAGGAATAATAAATCATTGCCGATCTAGCACTCTGAGCTTTAAAAATAACTAACATACAGAAGCCAAAACTAGAAGTTGGTTTACTAAAAATGTAGTACTTATCCCCCAAGAAGCAACTGTACTTAAAGAGAATCAACTCAAATGATTAGTACAGTTAAACACACTTTGCCTGGACTGAAGAGAGCAAGTTAACAAAAAAAAAAAAGGCAAAAAAAAAATTTCAGGAACATCAACAAGATTTGTTTTCCTTACAAAATATGGCTTGAGTCTAACAACTCTTTTTTTTCTTTCAAATTAAAGGATGTCTGGTTATGGACACACAAGTTTTCCCAATGACTACTTATAAAATATGGAAGGGAATAATTTACAGGAAGATTATGTTAAGAATTCTCTTTCTGTGTACTTGGAGAAGAAAGTTTCACAGAAAGGTAAGCATCCACTACACAAAGAAAGTATCTCACCTTCAAGGGCTCTGGTATCATTTTTAAAAACTTCTTGCCGAGTTCTGTGTAATAATTTAAAAAGCTTCAAAACCTGTCAACACAACATCAATAGAATTAGCTTGTTTGCTAGCAGAATTCTTAGTTGAAATGAACATGTTGCAATTAAAAGCGTTCTTGTTGACCTTTCATGTTCTTTCTATTTAGTACAGAATTTAGTATGGAATCAGTACCTAATCAGTAGCTAAGATACTTTACCTCAATTCCTGATCAAGTAACTTGCAGCCAAAACAGATGTGAGGAAATCAAAATCCTAGACGGTTCTTGATATTTCAAATTAATTTAACATGCTAGAGAGTACCAGCACTACACCCCTAAATAATTGTTTATATCCTGAACATTCATTCCTGTGAATCCAGGAATCTCTGATAAGCACCCCAAAAAAAAAAAAAAAAAAAAGTCTCGTTAACGAGATACAAGATACCTTTTCAAATTATTTCTAGTGTATTTTTTCACCCTAGAAAGCAAAATTCCAGGTACTTCATGATAATTTTACATTGTCTTCTTACAATTAATATTCCAAAAATTTCTTAGAGGGTGCAGAGGAGACACGGGGCTGTAACTGAGAAATTATCATCTTCTTTTTCAGCATGCTCTGTATCTGTGAGCTGGAGATCCAAACAAGACTGCCCCCTAAAAGCAAAATGCCAATAAAAACATCCTGGCAAGGCCCTGAAGAAAGTGCTCTCTGCTTTGTATCTGCCAAAGACAGAGAGAGACATGGTAAGCTTCTCTGAAAGCTATTAATTCCAACAGATGTCAACACATTTTTAGATTTTCAAGCTAATTTCTCACCCTCCGCTCAGCTGGTCACTTGGCTACACCTTCAGAGAATACATCTGGAAGTGTACACATAGAAAAAGACAGTTTTTAGGAAGAAGATGACCTAAAACAGTAAGAACAGGCAACTTTCTAGTTCAGTACTGCTTCTTTAACATAATACTACCACAACTTTAGTGCTATGAAGGGACAACTAGCAAATAAGAATAAATTCAAATCTCGCTTCACCACATGGATTAGACCTCGTCACAGTTTCTACTGCAATCTATGACTTAGCATCTTGTTGAGTACATGCTACTGCAATACAGATATTTCTGGGAAGCAGACAAACTAGTGCATTCTCAATTGCGTAAGAGTGTCATGAATGTTTAAGTAAAAAACTTTTGTCACTCTTACAAGAATTAGTATGCGACTTGACAATTGGTTAAATCAATCTGAGAAGAGACATGTAAAAGAGAACATGGACCCTGCTAACTCCTTTTCAGCTTCTGTGTCCTCAATAATTAGCAGCTGAACAGAACCGTTTTGCCTTTAATTGCAGCGCTCCCTAGATGGCTGAATCTGTAGAAAGTAAACCAACAGAATTAAAAGTCAGCAAATAAATTTCTTGTTCTGTAGATGTATTTAAAGAGATTTGACCAAATTATTTGGACAGGACATCCTGAAATATTTCTACCCAACAGTATTTTTGCCATCTTTGCAAATAGTAAAGTTAGTATTACAAATGGTTTTGAGTCAAAGACCTGTATGGTGAAACTTGAAGAACTGTTTTATGGTTATTCTGAATTCTTTGATCAACAATTTTCAGGCACCTTCCTCTGCTATTTGCCTCTTTATGCAAGCCCCTCCTAGAAAGTTCTCCACCACACCAACCATAGAGTAGTTATATTAGACGACTTTGAAGCAAGATGTATTAATGCACAGACTCCTTTGAGATCTAATCACCTAATGAAACCCAGAACTCCCATTATACCTCAATGTATTAGTACCCCTAATACTGGGCTTCAGAATGCTTCTGAAACAGGGGCTCAATTTCCCCCAAAAGTACTCTATACCATAAAGAAGAAAGGTTTAAATATTTCTGTCTTTGCTTTTCTTCATCCTCCCCTCACAATGCATCCTCTTGATGTATTTTAACCTCTCCTTGTCATCTCATTTCCCTTTCCACAATGGCCTTTGCATGCAAACCCCTACTTTTTATTACCTAGATTTGTGTCCTTTTCACCCTGAAAGCCTCTGCCTGCTGATGCTATAAATGCTAGGAACTTGCTTAGGGACATGGTTTAGTGGTGGAATGGCAGTGTTAGGTTAATGGCTGGACTTGATGATGTTAAAGGTTTTTTCCTAAGTGATTCTATGATTCTATGAACTGCTGGGAAGAAAGCCCCTACCCTCCAGTGTCACACAAGGAAAAACTCCCCTAGGTATGCAATTTGTGCCCAGTTTCTATCTGCACCCTAAGGTCGCAAATGTGACGGGGAGCCACAGCACGCTTCTTCGGCGCTGCACGCCCTACCACCACCTCCAAGGACGCCGGGCAGAAGCAGCGCACGAAGGGCAAGAAAGGGGCGCAGGGCGGCAGTACCCCGCCGGCGGCAGCCTTCCCCCCT